GCTAGATGTAATCCTCGTCCCTTTGTTTACAACCTCATTAACTTTGTACACAAATGAAAGTGTCTTGTGTCAACGTGTCACGGCACAAAAGGGTTCGTGTCACTTGCATAAACCGAATGTACTACAACTTTGTTCGTTTCTATTCAATTTCACGTACCAAATATGTGTGTTTAAGGTAATTTTCGATTCGTGCATATGAATTGTGTGCCTTAAATTGCTCTATTTCCTAACATCCTACATTCATCATTAGAGGGTTAAGAAACATTGAATTTTTAAATTAATCTAGAGTATATTTTCGATTTTTGTGCGAGATTTAAGTGAACATTCGATGACACATTCATTTATAGGAAGATGTTATTTGTACAACATTATGAAATAGAATGAATAAAATTTCAAAAGTCTTAATAAATACAAGCAATTATCACCATCAACATTAATGCAGAAACAGGGATTTCAGGTATAAACATCCAAGAATGCAGCATGTGCACTATAGAATGGAAGAAAATGAACCCCATATAAACCAGAATTCAACCTGATATTTTTTAAGTAAAACCTAATTACGATTTTCAGAATCAAGCCACTTCAGTGTTGGCATTAACTTAAATAGAAATGATTTCAACTCATCATTAACAACTGCATTTCCCATAATATCTAATTATATCAAATTCAAGCCCCGAAAAATAAAAAATGCTTCCCAATGATTTGTCAACTCGACACCTGAATTTGTAAATTCCTCGAAATTCCAATCATTTTCGACTGTGTGTGTCATGGGAGATGAGCATAAATATCTTCTTGTGTCGACAGAGTGAGCACCAATCTCATTGTATGAAATGTCTAATACCTTTAATGATTTCAACATTCTTAAGGGATCCAATGCAACAAAACTGCAAATTTTATTGTTGCTAAGGTTCAAGCAAGAAAGCAATTGCAGAACCTTCAAACCTGTCAAAGAATCGAATAAAAGAGAAAAATGACTTCTTCATTTTCCTCACCAGTAGTAACAAGTTAAAAGGTTGGTCATGAGTGGGTAGATGCATAGCAAAAATATCATTACATCATGTAGAAAGGTAAAGAGAGGGAGAGAATGGGAGTATTGAATAACACGAGTCGATGTCTAACTTATTCAGTATACTAGTAGTCCTATTTACATGTAAAACTTCCCACCAAGAACAAAAACTTGCTAGGATAACAAATTAGAAAAAATATATCTTAAAATAACGAAACAAACTGACCCTTAATTTTACAACCAACAAGTCTGTAATTTTGGAATGTGATCTCTCCTTCATTAGGATTGCAATTTTGGTTATGAATGATACCTCTATAATCTAACCTCCTTCGCCTATAAGTCTACAAGTATTTAAAATTATAAAGTGAGTTAAATTGAAGAATTTGAAGTATTTCTTGTCATGCTTTCTCCTAACGCAACAATAGCATTGCTCCATAAATTGGAGGATGATGCACCTCCATGTGTCGAACCTATGATTTCACAAAAAGCATTTTTACTAATACAAGTATTCAAATCTGACATATATGATAATTGTGGTCTTATAACACAACTGAAAATACAGACTGAGAACTATTTGTGATTGGTCTAGTACAATTCAACCTACGACAATAAAATACTGCCTCTTGTCAGAGAATATAGAACATCTGGAAAAGACGCAAGCAGTTCAGGTGAAAACATTTCTTCCCTTTTTTCCTTTGTTAGGTAAATATCTCATATATCAATATAGATATTCACAACCCATGATACAGCTTGTAACTACATAATTCTGCTAAACACCTAAGATTGAAAATGATAGATCAATGATCCATGTATTTAAAAGATCAATATATGTGTGTATAAAACAATTACCTTCAATTGATCGGATTTTGTTGTGGCTGAGATCTAACATTTGAATCCACAATAATCGCTCGACACTCCCAATTCGCGATAACGAAAGATTATTGAGCCGTAAACATAAACAAGAATACATACTTGGTGAAGTTGCAGTATCTCAGAATAGATTCCATACTCGAAGTCACCTACAAAACGATCACTCAATTATCTGAAGTTTTAAGCAGAAGTAACTTCTCTATATTGATTGTTGTCCATATAAGACATGCTCTTACGCAACTTACAACCGACAAGAATCTGTAATGTAAAATTGAAAATTATAAAACACAGCAAAACTTTACAGTATAAAAGGACTACATTATTAGACCCAAAATTTTCAAAATAAAGGATGAATTCATGATATCTGATTCAGACAGCATGATATCTCCCCACGAACAGGAATATTAGTCTAATCTGGACCGTAAACTGCAAATAATCAATTCTTGAAGTACATCTCTTTCTAACCACAGTTCATGTACCCCCCCCCCAGCTTCATTCATTGCAAGTAGCATGTATAAGCTCAATAATTAAAAAAAAAGAGCGGAAATCTCTTCATGGAAATAAACTTGAACTTGAACTTGAATTACATTTAAATTTTACAATAAATGATTGCATGTCAAACAGAAATATATCAAGAGGCCAGTTTGCAAAATATAAAGCTTGGAAATTCCAATGACTATTAATTTATATGTAATAGGTTGTAACTCCTTAGTGCGCAATAAAGACGTTTAACTCAATATCTAATAGCTAGATTATGGTCTCAGATTTAATAAACAAGAAGTACATAACAAACTCTACACAGAACAATATATCCCCATGTGACAGTTGCTTTCCAAGAGTAGCAATGCCAAGAAAACGTGAGTCACCTGTTTTAATAGGACTAAGCTGTATTCATCCTCATAGTAACAAATATGTAGGGTCCAACTTCATCAAATCATGATACATTCCAAGAATTTCTTCATAATGGACCTCAATTCCATCATTTGGAATGCCATATGAGATCAATTTGTTTTGTGCCATTAGCAGTCTTGCAAGAGTCAGTTTCCCAATTTTACTACAGGAAAAAGAAAAGAAAAATTACCAAACTTACTAAATAAATTATCTTCCCTATTGACCCCATGTTTCTCAAAAAATGGATCCAGCTAACCAGTTTGTTGATGACAATAGTTCCCGACTGTGAATAATTTCATTGGCTATGGTCTTCATACTCCAATCAGAAGCAGCCTTTGATTTACCCTCCTCAGTGATTTTTAATTGATGAAGTGAGTGTAGCAAGCTAGCATCCTGAGATTGTATAGCACCTGAGTAAATTTTTTTATCTTTCCATGAAAATCTAGGTATTGTTTGCCCCTCTGCATGTTCTTGATCATGGGATGGTACACACAGTGAGAACTCTATGTGCGAACTCTGACTACAGGAGAAACCACTTGATAAAACGATACCTGGAAACTGTGCTACNCAGTGAGAACTCTATGTGCGAACTCTGACTACAGGAGAAACCACTTGTTAAAACGATACCTGGAAACTGTGCTTCGAAAACTTTTACAGGGCAATCCTTTAGAGAGTGCACTTCATCAGGAAAATTTAGGTAAGTTAACCATGCTTGGGAAAAACCAAATTTATTTGCTGAAAGTGGTCTCCAAATAACATCCTCATTAGCATAGTATTCACATTCAATAGTCAGAGTAGAAGAGTTACACCTTCAACTGGTTCGTTGAAATATAGTACGAGTGGAAACATTCTATCTTTAGACTGGAAATGCATGCCTGGAAATAAATTACGACCGTCTAAGTAATCGACTGACAAATATAGACTAGAGCCATGAGGAGGCCACGAAGAAAGTAGGAAGGGTTCCAGTTTAACCGTTTGATCCAGAAGCCAAAGATGATAAAACCAACCACTTTGATCATCCGGGTCTGTAAATAGAGCATTACGTACAAACTCAAATTCCTCTTCCAAAACACTCTCTTTGTGACTTTGTCTTTCTCCTCTTTTCTCGAATAGATGAGACAAAAGCACACTGAAAGTTCATTGGTAAAAAAATTTGAAGAGAATGAAAATAAGTATACCATATAAAACAATTAATTGTACTGGAGACTAAAATAATTTTTATGAAAGGAAGTAGTTATTAAATCTACTTACTTTAATGAACAAAAGAGATTCTTTGCATTGATAAGGGTGTCAATCAAGCTTTTTTGAGTTCAAGCTTCGCTTGAAAAATGATCTCAGAGATGAGATTGATCTAGCACAAGCTCACATAAATTGTATAATTTACACCACAACAAATATCATATCTTGATGCTTCAAATTGTGTTTGACTTACTGGCTCAATACATACATGTACGTGGGTGTTTGTAAAATGTGATAAGAAACTAAGAAAGTGAAACAGAGCTACTTAGCAATGGATAATAAACATCCTCTTATCTAGTTCAAATCAAGTCTACTCTTGATCGTGGTATGCTTGAATGTAGATTCAACCCTGAGGCCTGAAC